CCTTTTTGTCTTTTTCGTGACCAGCAACGGATCGCAACCCTCAGTGTCGCACCCGTACCGGACTGGGACCGGCAACGGGATCGCAACCCTCGGTGTTGCTCCCGCACCTCGCTCAGCCAGTGAGTGGCCGGTCTGTACATGGGATCTGAACCCTTGGCGGGAGCGCCACCGCGCTCCCAAGCAGCGCACTGTAGCAGTACGCCACCGGGCTGGCCCATGGTCTGTACTTTTTTTGTGATATCTTTATCTGGCTTTGATATTGGGGATAATACCAGTATTGTAATGATTTAAGAAATATTCCTTCCTCTATTCTCTGAGAGTTTGTGAAGGATTGATATTATTTCTTATTCAAATACTTGATAGAATCCAACCAGTGAAGCCATCTGGGCATGGGCTTTTCTTGGTGGGAATATTTTAAAATACTAATTCAATTTCTTTACTTGTTATAAGTATATTGATATCTGCTCTAATCTTTGCTTGCTTTGGGTTTTGTTGCTGTCCTTTTTCTAGTTTCTTAAGAAGGAAGTTTAGGTTACTGACTTGAGACCTTTTTCTTCTTTCTGTCTTTTGATATAGGCATTTGCATTAGTCAGGGTACTCCAGAGAAACAGAAATAATAAGATGTATGTCTACCTCTATCTATTTCTTTCTTTTTTTTTTTTTTTAAAAGATGACCGGTAAGGGGATCTCAACCCTTGGCTTGGTGTTGTCAGCACCACGCTCAGCCAGTGAGCAAACCGGCCATCCCTATATAGGATCCGAACCCGCGGCCTTGGTGTTATCAGCACCGCACTCTACCGAGTGAGCCACGGGCCGGCCCAACCTCTATCTATTTCTGTATCTCTGTGTCTCTCTCTCTATCTAGATACATCAATTTATTATAATGAATTGGCTTAGCTCACATGATTATGGAGGCTGACAAGTCCTAAAATCTGCAGGGTAAGTTGGGAAGCTGGAGACCTAGGAGAGCTGATAGTGTAGTTCCCGTCTGAAGGCAGGAAAAAGCTGATATCTCAGTTCGAAGGCTGTCAGGTAGAAAGAATTCTCTCTTACTTGCGGGAGGGTCAACCTTTTTTTTTCTATTCAGGTCTTCAACTGATTGGATAAGGCCCACCTACATTGTGGAGGGCACTCTGCTTTACTCAGTTTAGCAATTTAAATGTTAATCTCACGTAAAAATACCCTCACAGAAACATGCTGAATAACGTTTGACCAAATATCTGGGCACCCTATGGCCCAGGGAAGTTGACACACAAAACTAACCATCACATCATTTCAAGGTATAAAATTTCCTTCTAAGCACTGCTTTAGCTATATCTCATTAATTTTGATACGTTTTTTAATTCTGTTCAACATGTATAATTTACCATGTGATTTCTTCTTTGGTCCATGGGTTATTTAGAAATATATTGTTTAATTTTCAAATGCTTTGGAATTTCCCATATATTTTTCTTTTATTGATTTCTGATTTAATTATTAAATCTGTATGAGGGAGTCAGGAAGATTTGATAGAGCAATTGCATTTGAACTGCAAGGATGAATGATGTCACCAGGCAGAAAGCTGGGGTGAACCAAAATTTAATTTAAAAGGAGAAGCGAAGGTGAGGGAGGGAGGGACTTTCCAGGTGGAGAGACCAAACACATATAAGGGCACAGGCTTGAAAATGAATGTGCTTAATTCTGGCAAGATGTTCACAGTGTGGTTGAGACAAAGGAAATGTAATTTGTGTCTTTTTTTTTTTCTCTTGGTCAGTATAGCTAAAGTTTGTTAACTTAGCTGATCTTTTCAAAGAATCTACTTTTATTTCATTGTTTTTCTCTACTATTGTTTTTCTTTTCTCTTACATTGATTATAAAGGAAGTATAGTGGGGATACAGAGGAAGTTGTGAGACATAACCTAGAAAAGATAGTGTAAAAGTTCCCTGCTGTTCAGATTCCAGTTTCACTCTTCAAAGCCGTTTTCTCTACTATTGTTTTTCTTTTCTCTTACATTGATTATAAAGGAAGTATAGTGGGGATACAGAGGAAGTTGTGAGACATGACCTAGAAAAGATAGTGTAAAAGTTCCCTGCTGTTCAGATTCCAGTTTCACTCTTCAAAGCCTCTTCTGAATAGTTTCTCATTCTCTGAGCCCAAGAATCATAGAAGAAGGATGTTTTCTCAGGATATTCTTGGCTGAGCATCAGTACCAAGGAAGCAGATATGGGAAGAATAAAATCTGAGCAAGAGATAGCTGGTGGGTCTGCTAATTATCCTCTAGGAGCCCAATAGTCTACCTACCCTGTCACTGAGAAGTGGTCATATAGAACCTATCCATTGTGGCAGTGGAAATAATAAGGCTGAGGTGGCAGCAGGGGTAGGTCCTTAAGGGTGCTTTATTATTTCTTCTATTATACATGAAATTAGAGGTCAGAAGCTGCCATCCCAAAAGGTCTTAGCAACTTAGCAGAGTCTTTGACTGAAGAGGGCTTTCATCCCCACCCCCTTATGGTGTGGGCTCTGCTGGACATGTGGGAGGTGAAGGCTAGTGCTGAGCTTGGTCTAAGAAACACCTGGGATGGACTGAGATCATCTCTATATGAAAGCTGCTCTGGGTTGCTCAATGACTTCAGAGAGTGAAGGATGGAAGAGACAGTGTTCCCGAGCCAGGGAAATGAAATCAAGTCCTCCTTAGAACTCGCCGGGGTGTGCTCCCCGTCACTGCCTCCCTCCCTCCTCACTCCTTGGCATGCCAACCCTCCCCACCCACACTCCTCTAGCTTTCCTTTTACTAATAACCAAAAAAGAATGTCTAATACTTAACAACCCACAGGACAGTGACCATTCCTGACTAGTTAGTGAGCTGCCTCCAGGCACTCGGCCCTCACACCCTGCTGTGTCTTGAGGGATGTACATTCCTCTGACAGGGACCGAGCTCCCTGATGGCGGGGCCATGTTCTCCGGCACGTGGCCATGCTCACATTCCTCCTCTCCCCAGGACTCCCACCCTTCCTTCACTCAGTATTCAGTGAAAGCACTGCTCCCCCTGAAGCCTTCTCTTCTGTTTTCATAGGAAGTATCTTCTCCCTTCTCTGAGTGCCTTTGACCTTTATCTGCAGTTCTTTCGTGGGAGTTCTTACCACTTTCTCCCTCACAAAATTAATTGTGTCCAGTCTCCTCCACTAGACCCTGAGCTCTGTAAAGGCACGACTCTAGGCAGGCTTTTATGTTTCCCACAAGGCCCAGACAGTAGTTGGCAACTGATGAAGAAATGCTTGGGAAGCACCTCAGCTGAGTGTTATAGAAAAGTGAACTCCCAGGACCTTCAGGGTCAAGGCTCTATTTTGCTGTATGCCTCAGCATCTCCCCTGACACCAGAAAATTCAAAGGAAAAAAGCACAGCGACAAGGATGGCCATTTTGGAACCCATTTATATTGTGCATGTTACTCTGGGCTTCATCCATCCCCACACCAGCCCCTGAAACTGCATCAGACCGTTTGAACATTCATAGCTTCCTTGGGCCAAGTGTAGCTGTCCAACGAAAAGGAGTCATAGTCTGGAGTATAGACATGGGATCTTATAAAAGCCTCCTTGTCCTTGGGCTCCGGGTAGTAGGAGGCCAGGTTGTGTTTGTACGCGTAGTCGAGGACCTAGGGAAAAACATGTTTGGCTGAAGAATTGGATCTGAGGGAGAGCCTATCTAAAGGCCCTCGCTGGGGAGCCAGGGGAATGGGAATACATCCTGAAGAACCAGACTCGTTCCTGTCATGGATTGTGGCCCATGAAGCCACAGTATAGGAAGGATTTCAAGCTTTCTGCTTAGACAGGCAGCTGGGACACAGTGGAATAAACACTGCGACAGGGTCAAAATACTTCAGCCTAAATTCTGCCTCCTTCCAACTGCTCGTGGGTCCTTGGTGGTGACATTATCCTTGCTGAGCCTCAGTTTCCTCATCCGTAAAGTGAGGGTAATTAGACCTTTCTCTGGAGTGGTATGAGAACAAAATTAGATAACAAGTAAAAGGGTCCAGTACCTGATGTATATATTTTTTCCTTCCTGCATGAATGTGGGTTGAATAAGATGACAACCTGGACACTGTTCTCTGCGTATTAGATTTGGCTTCAGAAGAGTGTGACTCTAAATATCCCAAAAAGGAAGGAACTAGACAGGGCAGCACTAAACTATGAGCTGGACTATTGGTCTTGAGGGCTGATTCTGGATTTTGCTCCAGACAACTCATGGGGAGCGTGTGCTATTATGAAATGCATTTTCTGAAATTATTTTTAATAGTTATTTTAGAAAATGTAAAACGTAGACACTAATAGAAATAATAACAAACCCTCATGTACCCATTTTCCAGCTTCAAAAATTATAAATGTTGGGCAAAGTCTTTATTGCACCATGTTCTGATTCTTTGAAAACCCATCACTTTTGCATAGTCTGGAATATTCTATGAATCTGATCACCCCATGGCCCGGCCATTCTGAGGGAAAGGAGAAGAATGAGATCTACTCTGGCCAGGTAGGCTCTGGGTATGGAACTTTTTCACCATTCTCTTTTAATTTTCCCCAGAACTTTGGGGAAAAGGAATTACTGGCCCCTTTGGAAAAGGAGGAAACTGAGGTTCAGGGAAGTGAGGTGACTGGGCCAAGTTTATGCTACTGCTGATTGACACAGCTGGGACCTTAAAGCCTGAGATCTTTCCATGATGCTATGCAAGCTGACCTTTCTCATAAATGGGGGCTTATGATTCATTTTTTCAAAATTCCACCCACATTCCGGTCCACAAGACCATGGACTTTGATGACCTTTGTTCTTGGTGTTTGAGAGGAAATCCAGGAGCTTTTCCAGAACTGGCCTGGGTGGGAGTTGGGGTGGGGCTTGAGCTGTAGGCAGGAGTTTGTCATCCAGCCTTTGGCTCACAGGCAGTGCAGCCCAAGGAGCTCAGGATGTCTCCATAGCTGCCATCTCGTAGCCCTCCTAAGTCACAGAGAGAGAAAGTGGTTGAGCCTCTCTACCCATGTGACAGGGTGGGATGCCTCTTACTTTGATGGCGATTCTTAGAGACACATCTTGGATGGTGCTGAGTGGTGGGTAAAGTCTCCCCTGAGACAGATGCTGCTCAGAGACCTCCTGGGCAATTTGCTGGGGAGAGGGAGAGAACCGGGATGAGCAAGCTGAGTTTCTGCCTTCCCAGAACAAGCCCAACCCATTACCCCAGAGACTCACCCTGCCTCCCTCCTGCATAGATGGTCAGATGCTGCGGTTCCCACTGTTGATTCTGCCACCATGTAGCCCCAGGGGAGCTTAATGCTTGCACTTAAGCAAGGACAAATCTTTTGTATATTGTGAAACTGGTTGAGGCTTAAAACAAAACGAGGGTATCTGAATTCTTTTTTTTTTTTTTTTAAAAAGATGACCGGTAAGGGGATCTTAACCCTTGACTTGGTGTTGTCAGCACCACGCTCAGCCAGTGAGCGAACCGGCCATCTGTATATGGGATCCGAACCCGGGGCCTTGGTGTTATCAGCACCGCACTCTCCCGAGTGAGCCACGGGCCGGCCCCGAAGGGTATCTGAATTCTAAAGAAAAATCACTAAGACCAAAATGAATAAATTTGTGGCCTGCAAAGTAAAGACTTCAGGATCTCTTCCTGGCTGGTTCAGGCTGTTGCACAGGATCCTGGGGTCCCAGCCTCCTTCCAGTGCTTGGTAAAATCCTGGGCACCCATTTAGGCAGTATTATCTCTCTGTGTTCAGGACTCCTTAAGCACTGCCTTCTAGCCCTTGTCCCAGTCTAAGGAAGGCCTCTCCTCCAGCAAGTGAATGTGTCTTATGTCTTACCTGAATAAATGCCCTAAGTGCATCATCCTGGAACAGAACCTCCAAGGTTCAGAGCCTGCCTCTGAGGGTCAAGCTTCATCCTCCAGCCTCAGGTGTGGGTGCTCCGCTAGGCTGGCAGGTCAGCCTCTTTAACGTGGTAGCACTGAATCTACTTCCACCCAATCTTATGGTGTCAAATTTAAATTCAAGGAAAGCCACTGGTGCTCTCTGAGAACTGTGTGTCCCAGAAGTGATAAGACAAAGAAGCTGATCTTGCCTCAGAGTTTGCAGACATTAGGGAAGTGGGCCTTCCTCTCCTCTGCCTCCTCACACTCCCACCTCTGCTTTCCACTCATTCGGTCAAACATTCACTGGGCTTCTAGAATATTCCAGACTCTGTGCTGAGGATCCATGGTGAAGAGGCCATAATCTTTTCCCTCATTGAGACTGGTGTCAGTGGACAATTAACAAACAAGTATGGCAATAACACTTGTACAATGGGTGACTGGAATGAGGGGACACAGAGGAAGGCAGGGCCGCATCTGCCATGTGCAGGAAAGGCTTCCCAGAAGTGTCATAGGTTGATATCCGAAGGACAACATATGGATCACTTGAAAAAGGGAAAGGGAGTAGCACACACTCATGCTGGGAGGTGAGAGGCACCAAGAGAGCACGGATGCAAGATTGAAAAAAGCACATTGGATAGGTCCATGGTAGGGAGAGGCTAAAAGTGAGGCTGGCGAGGACAGGAGGACCTGGTGGTGAAGTGCCTTTTATGGAAACCATGGAAGGAGTTTGGATTTTATCCTGTAAGCACCAAGGAGACATACAAGTTTCTGAAATCAGGAGGGAGACTTGGTTTGATCTACGTTTTGAAGGATTCTCTCCATGGAGCTATAGGAGCTGGATTGATTACAGAGAAGCAGGATTTGCACAGCTAGATCTGCATCTAGAAAGGGTATCCTGTGAGGAAATATCTTGGGGTGTGTGGTCGCTCCTAAGACATTGGGCACTGGAAATGCTCTGCTGCAGCCTGGAGTCAAAGTGCCTGGGGCCATCTGGTGCTGTCACTCACAAGCCCAGTGACCTTGGCCAAGTTACTTAAACTCTTGGTGCCTCACTTTCTTGCCTATAACATAGGGATAAGCACTATACCTATTTTACAGAGATGCTAAGGTGGAATGAGGTAGCACATGTAAATCTCATTATACCTACATTAATTTTCCATTGGAAAATCAAATTCAACTGAAATTGTCTTAACCGAAAGCACCCTTTTCAGAAATACAGCTTGCCAGGCCTTTGAAGACCAGACTGTCCTGCTCACAGCAGGTGCTTAATAAATAAATTGAGAGAGGTTCATGTATAATTGGCAGACACTATTCATGAAATGATGGAGCCAAGCTGTCCCACTGCACTGAGGGGTGGGTATGCGGTTGTCTCGTGGCATTATATTGGAAGGGCTCTAGCAACTGTGTTTCTGCACAACAGGGGAATTTGCTTTCAGGCTGTCTCCAAGGAGAAAGTGACTCTTCCCACCCAATGGGGGGTTCAAACAGCTCTGCCCACAGCCACAGGACAGGAACACTCATCATAGCAACGAGAAGAAAAACAAACACAGAAAACTCAGGCAAGAGGGACAGAGAGCTGTGGCACAAAGTCTTAGCTAGTGTGCACAGGGCCTGGGCGTGGCTGAAAAGCTTTCAGGAGACATTATTTGCATGGCCTTGCAGAGCCAGTGCTCAAAGACTAGACAGAGTAAGAAGGGACCTGGTGCATGAGGCAGTTCCCTGTGGGATTCATAGAAGTGGATCTGGACAGGGCTGCATCTCTTGTTGGTTTTGGGCTCTCACCAGTGCCATGATGAGGGGAAAATGCAGAGGGAGGTTGGAAGTTGCAGGACAGCCTTTGGAGTTTGTTAGGTATCAATAAATTTAATCTTTGTATATAGCTTTGATTAGCTTAAGTTCCCAACAGAGACATTTCTATGCCTCAATTTCCTCAGAGTGAAGATAAATGTCAAGTACCCGGCATTTAGTAATTACTTGATAATGACAGCCATTGTAACTGTTATTATGACCATGGACTGTCACTCTTAATGAATTACTTCATAATTTTCATCTTGTCTGGTAAAGAATGCTTCTAGGAGCTTTTCTAGTAACAGGTAGATCCCCCAAACCCCCATACCAGTGTTCAAGATCTGGGTACACAGAGTAGGAGAAAGCAGGCATGCAACCCATCCTCTCCCTTACAGAAGCTCTCCTGGGGGGCTCACTGCTGCTGGTTACCCCGGTGATGCTGCCAAGGCCTGTGGCTGGAAGAATCCATCACCTGTCATGGTCCATAAGCCCCCAGTTTCAGGTGGCTTTGGTGGCATCTTCTCTGTCTAGGCATCTAGATGGCACTGCTGGGAGGTGGGGAGCAGCATGAGGTATGTCCCCTTGCTGCCAGTGCCTCCTGCCAATACTCCCTCCCACTGACCTTTCCTCGTGCCTCCTCAAAAACCCCTTGTATGATTGGAGAGGAGGTCAAGCCTCAAGGTGATCCTGAGAGAAGCTTGAGGTTTAAGCACTTTAGGGATGCAAGGCCAGGGTTGGGGGCAAGTGGGTACAAGAGACTAGATAGGAGGGATCTTTGGAGGCCCAGTGCAGGACCCATTGTCAACCCATAGGCCCTACTGGAAACATTTGAGAGGGCAGGGACAATGATACCTCTGCTGTCAGGAGGAAGATCTCGTCTGGGATGTGCCGGATCCCACCAGCGATGACTCCCAGGGCCACCCCAGGGAACACATAGGCATTGTTTCCCTGCCCGGGAATGAAGGTCTTGCCATCTTCCAGAGTCACGCTCTTAAAAGGACTTCCACTGGCAAAGATCCCTCGGCCCTGGAGGCAGGAAGGAAGCCGGAGAGGGAGCTTGGAGGTTGGTTTGGGGCAGTAATGATGGCCTATTCTTATCTCCCAAATGTCAGACCCTTCTTCATCCTCTCCCAAATGCCCAGCATGGTGCTAGGAACATGGCCTTTGAGTGATCAAAGCACATTTGTTCATTTGACCAGAGAGCTCAGCCTCCGCCTGAGTTACCTGGCAGCCAACAAGCCGCGGGAAGGTGAAGGGGTTCACAGTATCTTTTTTACCTGTCATCTCCAGGAAGGGCCAACCCAGGACATGATGAGTTTGGACGTGGCCTCGAGCCTACAAGTGCCTCAGGTTCTGGGTTCTGGTCAAAGCTCTGTGTTATGCAGGGGGAACCTTGAGTTGCAGAGCAGGATAGTAAGAGCCTGGGCTTTGGAGTCAGACCTGGGTTTGAGGGTAGCTCCACTCCTTATTAGCTCTCTGATCTTGGGCAAGTTACTTCATCTTTCTGAACCTCAGTTTGCCCTTCAGCAATGTGGGGATTTTTTCACCCTCATAGTGTTACTAATAGTTATTGATACTATTTTCTCTCAGCCTGGGGAAGGAAGGACTCCCCGCTGACCTCGGTGACCTGGTAGCACTTCTCAGCCGTACACTCGGCCTTGCTGGTGGGGTTGCTCAGGGCAAAGATGATAGGGCGCTCGTGGAAGGAGGCCATGTCCCTCAGAATCTGCTCCGTGAAGGCTCCTGCGATGGCGGCAACACCTACAGGGAAAAGGCGGGTAGTGGGGATGCCTACTCTTTACAAACAACCCATTCCTTTCCTGGTAGTGGCAGTGGGGAAACTAGGTGCACCATGAGAGACTCAGGAGTCGTGGGGATGACTCCTGCCATAAAGATGGAGGGAGTAGAAGGGAAAAAGGTCTTCCTGCTTGAGCTGCCTGAGACCTCCTGTTCATCCCTAAGGGACCAGTGGTCCACTTCAGGTCCCTGCCAGTTAAGATGCACCTGTGAAGGTGTTCCGGGGTATTGCCATTGAGGGTGGGCTGCTCCCCCAGTACAGGGAGAGAGGCCGGGGTCCCCGTCTGGGGGAAGGAGTGCTCATCTCATCCTGG